TCTTAGTGACCCGGTGACGAAATTAGCACTGGCTAGGTTTTCTTTTTCCTCTCCAAGAGGTTCCCTAAACCTTTTTAAAAAAGAATGTCCACCATGATAAAGGGATAACAGAAAACTCTGTAAAACATTACTGAAAAAAAGTTGTGCACAAATGACAACTAAAAGAGCCAAGTGACATTGCAACCGTTTTAAATGGGTTGCGCGATTGTGTAGATTTGTTTTCCAAATCACAGAAGATCATAGACTGCAACATGTCAAAGAAGCAGATTTAGACACTAAGTGGAATGCACTTCAGATCGCTCAAGGAAAATCAATCAGTAGGCTTTAGGAGCGATGAGTTAACACGGACCTCATGTGTGATACGAATGAGCCCTCTGCTGAGCATCAAAGATATTACAGTTTACACGAGCTTTCGCACCTGAAATCCTTCCATTTTTTTTGCATGGTGCGTTCATTCATAATGTTCATTTTTGTTCTGCGTAGGGTCATACAGAGCTTGTGAATCGAATCCCTTCCACTGTCACACTGAGGCGTCTGAATGTTGTAACATTTAATCAAATAAACTACCAATGATTTAGTTTCAAAGTGACCACTGGAGGACTCCAATCGAAGTTGAGATGAGCTGGGCTGTTGGATACAGCCATAAAATACAGATATATAAAACAGATGTCATTACAGGAGGTAAAAGGGGGGACATATAAAAGGCAGCATGTCACAGCTATTGCTCAGAGGCTGAGTCACAGCCTGTCTAAGAACACTGTGTTCATCACGTAGTGCATGGAAACGCCGTTTCCGCTGCTGGGAACGTGGCTATGCACAGGACCCGAGAACCTGAGAAGATGCTCTATTTCCAAACCCCCATCATAGTTATTAAAAAGAGGAAACGCTTACCGCAGAGAACACGCAGTTGTGGCGTGGATGCCGGCCTGGCCCGATATGGACAGTTTCCCGATGTGCTCCTGGTGTGGGCAGATCCCCAAGACATTGTTCCCTCACCTCAGTGTGGAGCCAGATGTTGATGTTTATCTCCAGATGTTTCAGTCAAAGAAATCTGTGCTGTGTATGTTCAGTGTGATAATGCAGGTGAAAACGAGAGTACGATCGGATGCGTGTTCTTCAACCTAAATGAGTGTGTGGGTTTCTGAATGCTAAAGCATTGATTTTGTCATGTGAAGGGCTTGAAAAGTGCTTTAGAGACAAAGTTTGACTCCAAAATGTTCAAAAAGCTGCTTTCCTTCGATTCACCACAATGTTACAAGTCAAGACTCATGGCAGATATGGAGTTTATACTGAAATGAAGGTGAATGTAAAAACTATCAGTTTTCATGTAGTGTTTTTTTCCTGTCACTGTTAACGGGGAAAAAATGGACTGAATTGTGTTCCTCCCACCATTGGTGACCCGGCAGGAGTAGCAACAGTACTCAGAAAGCTGGAGAGAGATGATAGAGATTAAATCTAATGGCGGAAACGTCTCACAGATGAGACATTCTGAAAGAAAGATTCATTAACACTTTTAAACAGAGCGAGTCACAGAGCGAGAGAGCCCCTTTAGTAGATTGCTGTGTTGCATTTTTCTTCAGTCTTCACACCCACAAAACTCTCACTGGCTTTTTTTTTTCCCCGGCCCAATTCACCCACTTACCAAGGGCTGCAGACCAAAAAAAAAATATATCAGAGAAAACACTGCTAAAGAAGAAACAGGAAGTGCAAGTAAGTGATACTGGCTCTGCAGGGAAAATATAAGCACCCACTTCTAGTGGAGGTGTGAATCAGAGGGTTTGCCGACATGCAAGCCAAGCAAAAAAAACACAAACAAGGAAGAAATGATAAGAGCCAAATGTGTTTTTTTTCCCATTGGAAACACATCTCGAACCTAAAAATATACTAACAAATACTAAGACGGCACAATTTGTTCTCTGTGGACTGTGTGGACCATAAATGGATGCGATGCATCAGTAGCTGAGATATGTTATTCTGGACTGCAGTGAACTGACCATTAAAACAGGCTATCAATCTTATAACTTTCACATGCTAAAAATAATTTTAAAAAAAAGACATGAAGTGTTTGAAATGCCAATGTTCAGCTGCGTGGCCTGACATTAACTGGCTTGAGTTTCCCGTTGAAGGATGCTGACCTGTTCCCTTCTGGCTGGCTTGTGCCCTCTCCTCCCCCTACTACAATTTGTAATTCCCTCCACTTTATTATAACTTGTACCCTATTTTCATGGCATCATACATTTTCAGAGTAGTTCCCAGGTTAAAATGCCCCTGCCATTGCAATATGCTCTGCTACTATTACATCCAGTTCTTCCAGGTCAGCTCAACCTGGTAATGGCTCCCCGGCCTCGGCTCCTTGGGCCCTTGTTTTTTTCCCCCAATAAGAGATAAGGAGCAACACATGGTCACATTTACACCTGTGTATGGAAAACGGATGAGAAAGCACAGAATTCAAGTTTGATTATTTGAAATGCTCTTGTTTTCAGCATTTTCTTTATGTTGTCCACAATGTTATGAGAAAAAAAACACCCACAGAAAATCAAGCCTCAAATCTAAAGGATGCTAAAAAAAACACAAAAGCTTTATAGTGTGGTGGCATATTTGTTGTCGTTATATTTTCAACTTTTCATTTATCTTCATGGATGATTAGCATAATAAAACTTATAATTCAAGTTACTTTTGAGAAACTGCATTACTTTTGAATAAAGCTGGGTCATTTCTACAATTGTAAAGAAGGCTGTGAATATTAAACGGAAGCTCTGATGAGGCTGATTTTAAACCCTTCATTTCCAGAGTTGTCAAAACTTCTGTTAGCAGAATGCATTACCAACCATCCATACTTACGTCTCTCTACTTGTTTAATTACCCTAACATATATGATAGGCAGGTACAAAGACATTTCATAGTTATCTTTAAATACGTTTTCCAAAAACAAGTATCGGTCACATCCTTATGGTCAGAGACCTGCGGGTCAGAGACCTGCAGGCACTTACCTCACTGATGATTTGTTTGTGTTGTTTTGGGATGAGAAGACATATGATGCCCAACAACCAGCCACAGCTAATGTAATTACAACTCACAGCCAGAAGATGGTGCCACAGATTCACAAGAAAGCCGATTCTTTATTTTAAACATATATAGATAGATTTATGCGTACAAATAATTGCATTTAAGATACAGATTACAAGTTAATGATACATTACTAATTATTCTGAAAATGTAGGATCTACAGCAAAACTCTTACAAATACTTCATAGTTTCTCCTGATACACAAATGGTATTTATCAACAGCAGCAAAGATCAATATGAAACCGTCTCTGATAAACACGAGGAAACCAGTGGACCCTTTCATGGGCGGAAAACGGCTGCTGAAAAGCTCGCAGACCCTCATGTGACGGCACCACCACTGACTTCCAGTCCCCGTGGGCTTGGATGATAATCTGACATTGATTCAGCACAAGAAAAAAATCGACTCATTCTGGCTTCATCCTGTATGTTTGGCGGATACTACAAAACCTCAGCAGGAAAATGACAAAAACAGCTGAGTTGGCCATTCCTCAAAATTAAGCCAATCAATACTCCTGCGGGTCCCTCTGTCTAACTTTAATTCCCTCCTGAACCACATGCAGGGCAGTTTAAAATAAACAACCCGGGTGCTTTTTGCTGGAGAATTAAACACTGATCTATACAAAAAGGGGAGGAAACCTAATTAAATTCCTATCAAAATGAGAAATACTAAAAAACTCTGTTCCACTGAATGCTAAAAACACTTAGAGTTACTGAAAATAGGTGGGTTTTGATAACAATTAGCTTTAAAAAAAAAAAGGTGAAACTTTGAATACTCCCAACAAGGAAAGGAAAAAGAAAAAAAAAAAGAGTTTAGTGCTCTGGCTTACAGTTACTGATAGAGAACCTTCTGCTAATAAGTGCCAATTTTGTGAGGAAACCACAAGACTTTTCTTCATGCATTCCTCTTATTTTAACAAAAACATATTTGAATGTTTCTGAATCCCAAAATGGAAGTACAAGGTGAACCAGGGGAACTGTATTCACTTTAAAGGGTATTCAATGAGGTGGGTTGATCCAGAAAAAGCAAATGGGAAGACATTAAATTGGTGTTTGAGTTGTTTTGGGAGGAAGAATATTCATTTCTGTGAAATTTCGAGCAAAAATAACCATCTTGTTTGACTTACCAGATTTACATTAGATTACTTTGGAACAAAGATACACTCAGGAAAAAAGGATTACCTCCTTGGTTTTCATTTCTGTATAAAGGAAACCGATTAATACTGTGGAAATAACATCTGTTTTTGGCAGTAAACTGTTAAAACCTCTGAATCTGTGACACGGTGTTTGTTGCTGCTGAAGTACCTCTACACATTTAATATGGTTTAGTAATCACTGAAGGACACTAATGCATTACACAGCTTTAAAAAATGCACTGTGCATCAATGGTTCAGGGCTCAGATTGTGTTCCACAGACATCTATTAAAACAGCTTTCATGATGTCCTGGACAGAAACGGCACACAGTGCCGTCAACTCACATTAAGTGCATTAGTGTGTTTGTACAAATGTGTTGAATATGATCTGCTCATTTTGTTTGATGTACAGTACAACACGTTCATCCCCACCCCCCCAAAACAAGACAGGTTTTTTTACAAACTGCAAGACTCTCGGAGGGCAAAACCAAAGTCACTTATTTAGAACATGTGCCTCCGTCTTTTGAAAGACTGCACAAAGGTGAGTTAAGTCAGGAGTGTGTGTGGACATGCATGTGTATGTGTAAGCATGTGGAAGGGAGTTGTTACATTCACAATTGCAAAGGACTGGTGGGTTTGATGGGAGAGCATATTGGCCTCATAGCCACACATAATGCAAACACTAAGAATTTCAAGAGCCATCCCCAGGCAAACACGGGCTCTGCCTTATTATGCAATCTAATATAATGTACCTGAGCCCTCTGTCTCTTTATTTCCCGCACACTCGCATACCGGCGCGGGGTCTATGTGCGGCAGCAGCCAGCCGTCCTCATCTCTTGGTCAACGTACTGCTGCAGCTGGAACTTGGGCTCGTCGGGCTCTTTCATGGTCCTGTGCTTCAGTTCTCTGGCGGGCACAGAGAAAGAGAGAGAGAGGGGGGGGGCAGTGAAAACACGGCACTTAACAATTCAAACGTGTTGCTTATTTCCCCCAACGCCCAAAAATATGATTATTTCAGCACCCGCAGTCTCCCTGTTTTGAACCGCAATCAACATTAGCTTTGTTTCATGCTTTTTTAAAAATACCTCTCAAACAAAGCAACCTGCAGCTCTGTGATTAAAAATAAATAAATAAAAATAATCTTATCATTCCATGCTTGTCTGGAATCAGGATGGGGGAGTTGTAATTGCAAAGGTTTGTGTAAACTGTTCAAAGTCTGTGGGAATGGCCTGCTGTGCTCGTGACAAGTTAGCAAAGAAAACTGAGGTAAAGCTTGTTGTGCATTAAAGAATTTCATAGAAACCAATGATTTTGGGTACCAAAATACCATCCAAAACCCCTAAAACAACCAGGTTATACCTATCATGGGTGGAAATATTAATAACAAACATGGCAGAAGCCTTTTGTTCTTGTTTACACCTCCCTCCGGAATCACCACCCCCGAAAGGCAGCACCGGTTCCTGCTGTATGACACCTCCGATTTTCAAACACTGACACTGTGCGTTGTTAGTCTGAATATGTCTTTTTGAGAGCCACCGGCAAACTTCTGCATTTGTCAGACAGAGGAAGCGCGTAATCATCAGACATGACTGATAATTATGCCTCTCTGAGAAAATCTAAGAAGACATGGATGTAGTTTTCTGGCACAAAATGACAGCTGAGACACAGCGGCTCTGTGTCAAACGCAAGGCTGCGGAGCCAGAGAGTGGCAGAGTTTTGTTGCACTTAATGATGTAGGTACAGAACACAGTCGTTGAGCTTTTCGTTTCAAATCCATCTTTGAAAATGGACCCTCTGGACATAAGCAACTCCCCAAACCTGAAACGCATCCAGAAAAAGGGATTTAATGGAAGCTATGTCTGTGCTCCATGGGGTGGGGCGGGGATTGGGGGGTAAAACAACTTTACAGCACTTAACTTTCTGTCTCACAGTGAATATTTAGCTGCTGTTCAGAGTTTTAGTGGTCGTTTAGGGTTTTCAGCAAGTCTCTTCTCAGCTATTTTATGGGCTCCCGAAATAAAACTGTTCCGTTTCTAAATGGATGCGCCTCCTGATCTCTTCAGTTGTGCCTTTGAGCTTTCTGTCTGAATTAAAGAGAACACATGCTTGATTCTCCGTTTGTGTATCTCAAAGATACACATGAAGTCAAGATAAGTATAAAAATGGCCCATCTGTGGCTTCATGCCTGCGCTTCTGTGGTCTTCTGCATTTTTGTTGCTTTCCTCTGCCCCTGTGTTATTTGTGAAAAGAAAGTATCGCTCAGTGTGAATGGTTCTAAACTGTGGGGTAGAGGTGAAAACAAAGTGGGTGAACGCAGAGGGCTTTGTGAGACGAGTAGGCGAGGGATGGGAACGCGTTACAGCTGCTAAGATGAGCTTGAGGAAAACAGCTAGAAACTATCTGCTTTCATACACACTGTATTTGTGGAGCGAGTGTGTGCCCGACTGCTACGCTATCCTTGGCAGCAGCACCCACCACGCCAGCCTGTTACCACAACAGGGCTATAAATGTGAAACGGCTCCCACACAAACTGTCCGACATTACACATTTGAGAGAAGAGTACATTTAAAATAGCATCGCCGTTCCTCGAGTATTTACAAATGTATCATCAGCTCTGTTTGTCTCTGTGTGCATCTGCGGGTATGAGTTTGGCAAAAGGTTGAACTCCATGACTGTGCCGAACAAATAGGATATGAAAGACACCAACTCATCAGAAAGCTTTTCTTTTGTACTATTACAGGTTGCTTCGATTGGTTTGAGTGCCCAGGAGTAAAAATACTCCGTTTTTACTTATTTTTATGAACCATTTGGAGCTGAAGCTTCTAATCTCCCCCTAATGTGAGCAAATCTAAATTATATGCTCTCGGTAATTTATCTCAAATGTTCCATTTCATAACTTGAATTAAAATGCAACGCTAATTATTGTCTGGAAGCTTTAGTGTAAAATGTACCAGCTTCTCAGCTTTGTTCTGCAGTGCATTTAAAAGCATTCTCTTGCTCTGACTTTTGGACTACTATGTCATGATGTTTTGTACATGGTTCCCACAAATATGTGATGGTGACGGTTTCAGACCAGAATTTCATACCTGCCGGTAGGAGCTCTGTCGGTGTTGCTTGCGTTTGCCAGCATCCTGTTGGACCCTAAATGCCTACCGTGTCTCCCTTTGTCTCTCTTTGATATCATTTGGTCTTGTTTGTCTTCTCATTGCTCAACATTGGTTTTGTTGATTCTTGTCAATTATGCACCATTTAAGAATACATACTAACTTTATATAGATTTTACATACTTGGATGGCACTTCAAAACGAAACAGGAGCTTTCGATAAAACAAGCAGCAAAGTTGACAAAGTTTTTCATGCTGTGCTGTTGCTGTGTTCGTGTGACTCACTTGGCCACGGCGGTGAAGGCCAGCTCCACATTCAGTCCAGATTTAGCACTCGTCTCCATGAAGGGCACTCCAAACTCCTGCACAGAGGAATAAATGCTGTCCAGTGTGCCCGGGTAAATGGGTTTTTTTTTCTGCCTGCCCTTGTGAGGACAAAATGACCCAAGGTTCAGAAGGATGATTATCAGGATTAATACACCATTCGGGGCTCTGTTGAGAGACGTGAGGGTTGCTGTACCAATACCACACTCAGGACAGGTGATGGTATTTCTGGCTTTCAAAATGTAATTTCCCACCCCTTTTCACCTCTCATTTCATAGAAAAAGGAAAAACAGTGTCTGGAAACATCTCAATATTCATGCTGTGTGTTGGCTTGATGACTACAGTGCTGCTCCCCTCCCGTTCATATTCACTCCGACGTGCTCTCAGAGGTTATCTGCGAATAGCAGCCTGGAATTTTTAATTACGGAGGTTTCATCACTAATTCTTACAATTTCTGTGTGATGTGCCCCCACATATACATGATAACACACACAGATCGAGACGAGCCACGGCCGTGAGGGGAGCGGGCGGTCCGGCTAATGTACAACGTGTTCCCTGTTGATTTCACATGAGCCGGGCTGCAGTAGTTTTGTGTGTGTGTGTGTGTTATGGGAAGCTCACCTTGGCCAGTTTCTCCCCCTCCTCTCGCTTCACTACCCTGTCGTGTGTGGAGTCGGCCTGGAACACAATGGACACGAAAATGGAATGAAGTCTTGTCTGGTAGGACTGTTTCTGAATAGTGGTTATTCCTGAGATGAAAACCCTGCATGTTGCTGTCGTGGGAATGTCTTTGGGCAAGGTTTTCCTCACTACAACCAAGGCAATGCCAAACAATTCTGTGTCACAATATAACGAGTGACAACACTTAGCTGTAAACTATGTCATGGTCATATGAAATATGACATCCACAAGCCATATAAAAATCGAATTTAAAATTCAGTAGTTCAGTTTTCACATTTCATACCTTAGAATCTATTATTCTAGTGCGAAGTTCATTTTTCTTAATGACACTGTCACTAAATTACATGAATTGTTTGATGTCTTATTTAAAAAAAAAAAAAGACAAACACAAGGCAAATCCTTTTTGGTCTGCTGTTGCCTTAGTTAATCTAACAAGCAAATCATTTTCTAGGCAGCATTAGTCTTCTTTGTCGTTTGTACCATTCGTCACGTTTTCTGCTGCCGGTAAGCACAACTCATCATATGTAATTTGTTCAATTGTAGCTCAGCTCATTCGGGTCACAAAAAATGAAAATGGAGATATTGGTCCTCCTTGAATAGCTTGCTGATAGTTTTCTGAAGGTTTTTCTGCTCGACTGAGTTTTCGTGTGAATCTAGTTGGGGGCGGAAAGCAGCGGGGTGATGGGAGAGTGATTTGCTAAAAACACACAAGTAAAACTGTGATTGTTGCATTCACAATCCATATGTGAACGCTCCACAGAGCACTGCACAGTCGGAGTCTTCGCTCTCTGTGGGTTTGTCGGCATATGAGAGTATTTTTACATATCACTAAAGTGGTTTGGTCCATTGTTAACACTGATTTCTTCGGGCTTTTATACAACTTGTGATAAAGCCGGTATGACGCAGTAATGCTGCTTCCAGAATGTGGCATTTATGCCTTTTCTCTGTCAAACATAATTAGGCTCTTTATCAGTGCTCCCAGGCACATCCATCCATCTGTCCTTACATTCCCATAATGCTGACTTCCATGACCCTTCCTTCCCACCCTCTGAGTCCATCTGTCCATCCAGCCATCTTCCAGCATTGGCAACAAGGTCTTACCTTGTTGCCCAGCAGCATGACGACCACATCTTGCTGAGCATATTCATGAATCTCTGTGAGCCACGCCTGTTGAAGAGAGAAAAAACTGTCTTAGGAAATCCAGAACACAATGGCGACGCGTCGCAGTGATGGAGGGGAGGAACAGGAACTGAAGACTGGTGATAGCGAAGATGGATGGATCCATCCAGGAGAAACAGAACGATTAATTGCTCATTCCACTAGTTCGTTCAGTCCACCTCTCCTCCTTCCAGATCTAACCTTCTTCACCCATGTTCTCCCCTCTTACATCTCTTTTCTATCCATCTCTGTCCAATTACAGGCCAGTAGTTTCTTAACAAAGTGCTACGAGGCTTGCTTAAAGTGATTTTATATTCTCTGGGAGTCGTTCCAACGCACAACGCTGAGCAGAGACAAACGTTCTGGTCTGTTTGCCAGAAGTCACGTTTGTTTCCATTCTATTCTTCTACACAAACCTCTAAAATGCCCAACGGTGAAGTCAGCAAGCAGCTAATTCAAGTTGCAGCTAAAAAGCCAGATGCAAAGACAATAAGATACATCTTCAGCGCATTCTTTTTCTCAATATGTGGTCAGATAATTAACTTTAATGATTCATCACATAAATAAAATAATCTGAAATGGATTTAAAATGATTGGACCACCGGGTGCAAACAGTCTTTTTTTCTCTTTTTAATCATGTGCTAATACCAAGCAATCTAGAAGTATTACAGGAAACATGGATACAAAAAATTGCTGCCTTGATTTTACCTGTCCTCTGCACTCTAGTCACATTTTATTCTCTATAGTCACATGACGAGATCATACCTGTTGTAATTTCAGGTTTTGTTTTTGTAAAAAATACATGTGGATTGAACCACCAGCGTGCCAAACATAATCTCTATCGTAATTCCGTTTGCATCTGGCTGTTTTTAAAAAAGATCTATGATAACAGCATTTTCCCTAATACGCTGTTTTATCCCATTTGTCAAGCTGTTCTTTGCTTTTATTTAATTTAACTTCCTCATATTGCAAAAACTGAGAAAAAAACATGATGTAAACATGTGAAGCTGTCAGCATCAGTTTGGACGGAGGGGATATCATTTTGGAAAATTGTTTCTTTTATGTCTAATGACAATGAACCATTATCCAGCAAAAATCAAAGACTTTCTTTCATGTACATCAACTGAAATTGCAAGCCTCAGGACCAGATGTCAGAAAATAAAACTACACAAAGTAGCACAAAGGGTTATATAATGTGGGTCTATCGGGCTTCTGTCGTCGTTGAAACTAACCCATTTAGGGAAGATTTTAGGACACAGATGTCTCAAATGGACAGAGATGAGGCTCCGCTGTTAGTACATTGCAATTTTAAGATCAAAGAAGACGGTGAAGAACAGCTAGATTTTCCGTGAATCATCTGTTAATCCTGGATAAATTGAAGAAGAAAAAGATGGAATGAGGAGTGATGAAACTTGGGGCTTGAAAGAGACTTTTAATCTTTAGCTTATCAGGGACGCTTTGAAAAAATTAAAATTATGCTGCTCAGAAAAATGTAAGAATATTGTGCGCAACTAATACATAATTTACCCCCAAATTACATTAGCTACATCAACATTGACATTGAAGAGTTGTAAAAGCATGAGACAGAAAGTCACAGTGAAACAAGGCCTCAGCAGGAGGAGATTAAGATTGTGTGGTGCCTTCGGACAATGAACATTTTGGCTTGACAGTAGAGAAAATATCTTCAGTCAAATACTGGACTTTTGAACTGCGTTGGCCTTTTTACTACCAGGCCGGCCGAGAGGACTGAACCTTTTATGTCTGGTGGTCATTGAAACTATTTTGACCAGCTTATGATTCAGCTTACTTGTGACTTATACACATAAAATGTGACTGAATGTAAAATGATGTCAGACTGGTTGATTTAACTGTTGTACCAGTTTCAAATTGAAAAAGTCTTGCATTCCCAGTAGGGAAATCAGTAAAAGACACCAGGAAATGTATATCTTGTATTTACATTCTATAAAACAAATATCCATCAGTCCCGTTTGGAGAGGACCCCTATGAGCTCATTGCTCATACCTCAGAGAGACACAAGCAAACTCAAAGCTCTACCACACAAACAGCGTTTTTTTCTGTAGATATCAACTTGAACTAAATATTTATCATTTCCGATAAAAAATGAGACAGTTAAATCCACGGTATATATACTTCCTCCATCCACTACACTTTTAAACATTTTAAAGAAGAGTTGTGATGCATGAAAAGACAATAAAAAAAATCGAATAAAAATTTAGGTTGGATAAAGCTTTCTGAACAGAGTGCAACTGTTTACATGTCAAGCATTAATAAGCACATACAGACTCCCATTTACAAAGCAGGAACCGAGGCAAATATACAGTATTTCATTGCTATTCAATGAAACAGGAAGAAAAGGTCATGTCTCTGTATTACACATGCAGATTTCCCTCTGGCTTCTCCCATCGCGCTGTATGAATCATCAAACGAAGACCACTGAGATCAGCAGTAATCCCCCCATTCGTGTGCAGGTCTACAGTATCCCGAGAGCTTTGCAGCGCTTCATTACACAGAGATTAATGCACCGAGCCCTCACCTAGCAGCTCTGACTCCCGACAACACCCAAACCGGCCCAGGATTCACACAGCCTTGAAAGATTTTTGGCAGTATTTGGCTGGATTTGGAGGAAAGTAACTAAGTTTCTAAGCTGACAGCGATCAAACTTAAAAAAAGGCTTGCTGTTGACACCAAAAGTTAGAATCCACACGTTATGGGTTCGCTTTTCTGCGTAAAGATAGTCTTTTCAGGCAAACTTTAAATAAAAGGCACATGGGTTTATAAATCCGATGTGACATCACGTGATCAACTCTGCTGTGTTCTGTCCACGTCATGCAAAATAATGCTCATTTTAAAATGTCAGTGCTACTCAGCAAGGCCAATTATAAACCACGTTTGCTGGTACAGTCAAAACACAGAAGTAACAAGACAATGCCGAATCCTCATTTGCATTTTGCTGAACTTTATGGGTCTGCCTGAGATAGAGATGCAAATAATGTCAGTGCCACGTGTTTCTTTTTTCTTTATAAAACCAGGCTGATATCCAATTTTTTACAGTAGATCTGGACAGTCTGTCTTTCTCTGTGTCTTCCTGAGATGTTCTACAGAGAAAGTTTTTAAAAAAAAGTTTTTTTCCCCAAACATTTTTCTTTGCTGGGTTAGATGTGCTACTGGGGAGACTTCTCCAGGTTGTGTTGCATTACCATGGCAACTGAAAAGTTTTGGACCAATTGAAGCATTTATCCGAGCTTTTCAAAGTCCAAGTAATGCCTGGAAAAAGATGCCAAAAATCAAGGCAGAAACATTTTGGGGGAAGAAAATGTAAGAGAAGGTTAAAATTGACATTTTCTTAACTCATGATGAATTGCATTTTCAGGAATAGACAACTATGAAGATAACGATTAGGAGAGATGTGTAATAGCAACAGATGAGATAGTGAGAAGAAGCCTCTCTGCATGCCAGATGTGAAATAGTGGGCGGTGATTTCCTGTTCATGAGTTCCTGTTCAAGAGTTCCACTGAGAACTGTGTCACCTGTGTTGCCTGCCCATGCTACATGTATAGTTGTTCTCATGCTACAAAACAATCCACCAACCCAAAAATGGGGACCTCTGAAGATATTACCAACACAACTAAGCCCTCACAAAAATTTTTGAAGAAAGAAAAAACCTTCCAAATCTATCTAAACAAGCTAATGATTTGCCACCTACACAGATGGTGTAGGTGGAAGGCTGGCAAGGTTGCGTGACACTCCTCCTTCATTTGCTGCTCATTGGGGCTAAATCTGTCCAACCTTAAGGCTCGGCCCAAGGACAGAGGATGTAAAAATTTGGCCCAAGGGCTAGCGTAGCCAAAACGCCACTTTTACGGCTCTCTGGCTTCTGAAAAGATCTGCATTCAGAAATCGACTGAAATGGTGGTCAACATGTTTGTATCCCAGAAAGATCCTCATGTTGAACTTCTCTCCTTAAATTATCACCATCTCTATTCATGTCTCAAGAGAGAAAAAAAATGTTTTGTTTCTACATTCTTCATCTCTCCTAACATTGTTTTTTTGCCATAACTGAACTATCTTTATTCTAACTATCTCTATTCTAATTTTTATATATATATATATAAAAATCAGTCTGCTAATTCCTCTGTAATGACTCAAAATGAATGTTTCTGTCTTAATTTCAATAGAACAGGTATGAAACTGCAGGACAGCAGAGTTATGACCTAGCTGACAACCTCAGTAAAGTTAGTGACCAATGAGCAATCAGTAAAAGCAAAACAAAAAACAAAAAAGAAGCTGGATCACCATGAATGTCGGGGTTCAAATGATGCGCCATCCCGAACAAACATGACAGTTGTCGTATCTGAGGGATTACTGGTAGAATCCGTAGGGCCGCACTGCAGAAGCAGCTAAAAATGTCCTGGCCTGCAGCTGTTGCTGGGTTTGTGAAGGAGAGGGTGCTCACGACAAGGCTTCAAAACAAATGTCCATAATTGCCGAGAGTGTTTAATCTGTGAATTGGGGGCTCTCAGTTCTAAGCATCTTGCAGAAGAGGCGTTCAAAATGCAAAGCAGCAGCACAGCTAGAACTCAAATCATCAAAAATAATCAAACCTACTGTTTTCCAATGACTTGGATGAATGGGAATTGGCACTAAAATTAAAGGGCAATCATGGGTAATTTATTTCTTTTGGTTGCTAAAATTGTGAATTGCCATTGAAAATAATAAAAAGTCAGAGCCACACTTGTGCAATCACTTGTCAGAAAAACTGTTGCAGGGCTGTGTGAAAATCCCTCTGAAAGGTCAAACTTACTTCATGGCATTAGGTGTCGGGCAACGAGGAGGGGCAACAGAGAGCGATATTAAAACACTGATGTGTGAAAGTTTCAGTCAACACTGAGAACTGAGATCAGCAGAGCACGGCGGGTAAAAACTACTTTACATTTTATACTGTGCAAAAGGCTTTAAGCTAATCTTGTGGCACTTGCATGCTTTATTTTTATTGTCTGGGCCACCGACGGATGAGAGTGCAATAGTAATTAATTTAATTTAGAATCCTATTTTTTTCTTATAAACACTTAATCAAATGTAAATCAGACAGAGCCTAAAAAATATTCCAGTAATAGATTTTTAAAAATTAAATCGTTGCTGTTTAAACTGTGACGGTGGGGTGACTTTAATTCATCAGCATCAATTCAAACAAACAAATACAAAACTTTAAAATCATTGTTAATAGATCTCTTTACGACTGATATTTCAACTGAAAATGTCAGTTTTCATCCGATAAACATTTGAACGAGGGGCATTTACACAACTCCAGCTTCTGTTGTGAAAAGATATCAGTTGTGAAACTTCACACAAAAAAGTTCATTTGGGCGTTTACTCTTCCTCTTTTGGAAACTCAAAACACCCTGACCCTCATTCTCTCTCTTTTGTTTCTCACATAGTTTTTCATTCACTAAGGCCCCGCCTAATTGAGAAAGATGAACGGGATCCTCGCTGCTAAGAATTGCTCTGTGAGTCCAGCTCAAACTCCAGGACACTCCTTCAAACGTGGCCAGATGAGTAAAAAAGTGTCCGGTGGTAAAAACGAGAGCGTCAGAGAACAAAGCAAAGACTGTGAGCAGAAACAAGGACCGGGCTGTGTCATTAGGAACGTCCAGATGTTAGAAGAGCGCTTCATGATGATGGACTCCCCACCGAAGAAAACGCCACGCTCTCACCAGCGGAGGTGGTCGGTCTCGGTGACGTCCCCAGTCATTGTTGTTAGGAAGAGCAGGAAGGAACCGCTGCCGCCTCAGCGCAGCGTTTCCCTCCTGCAACCCCCAGCAGCCCCACATTCTTCCTTCAAGCGGTACTCCTTCCCTCTTATTGGGACCTTCACCTCACCAGGTCGCCCATCCAGCTCATCCTCTTCCTCCTCCTCCTCTACCTCCTCCTGCTCCTCGCCCCCTCCCGTCCAGACGTCTGCCATCACTGGCCACGATCCGCTCGGCTGGAAGGTACAACCCAAATCCAGCTCCAGCTCCTCCCGGGCACGCGCTAAAAGGCTGTCTCTGCAGATCCCCCTCCCCGTTGTCCCCGTGTCCAACCCTCAAAGCCCGGAGCCGTCGTTCAAAGCCAAACCAGCTCTCAGGCCAAAACCTTTCCGCCGCCACTCCGAATCCTCGGCCTTCCTCGGGTCACCGGGGAGCCCTCTACCTGCGGTGACACGCCAGGAGCTTCTGGCCGTGCGCCTCCGCCCAGTTACAGTTCATTCAGGGGAGCCAGATGAGGTCTTCTGCGAGCCGACTCCGGGTGAAGGGTCGGCAACCGGCGGGCCGCGCAAAGTACCACCTCCGGTTCCAGAAAAGACGGCCATGGCGAGACAAATCTCGCAGCTGATCGCTATGTCACGAAAACGCTGTTGTGCCGTCGTAGCTACAAGCAACAGAGATAAAAACGCTCACACCAGCGTGATACCGCTAAAACCTAAACAATCCCCTCAGCATGGAGGCCACAACAACAACAACACAGCAACTAAAACGGGTAAGCACACCTCGAAGTCCTCTAAGCACGTGTCTGTACTTCATGATCAGGCATTTTAGAACTGGAATAGGAATGTTGTGTGGTGGAAACCTGGTAATACAAGATTAATTCATTTTAAAACATATCGATTAAGACAACTGACAAATGTGACTGTAAAATATGTCGTAATTAAGAACTAAAAACTAGAGAGAACTCTAGGAATATTAAAGGATTAAAGAGTCTTCAAATACCAAAAACTATTTTTTTGTTTTAGTCCATTCATTGTATGATGAACGCACAAAAGTCTTCACTGTTTTGCTACCGATCCAAGTGTAGACTCGAGATTCTCATCAGTTTTTGGATAATTTCCTTTACGATGTGATGAATGGTGAATAAGCTGTGTCCGATGATAGATGCCGACCGTGTGAACTTTTTTTTTCAGCTGGATTGAGTCTCCATACTGGCTGTGACAGAGAGAGGTGCACGCCACATTTCAGCTGGCTGAAAAGGCTGCAAGGACAAAGTGGAAGATGCTCCCAGTCATCATGACCAAGAAGCAGTGTGTTGCTCTCTGCAAAGAACAAGCGCATCTTTTAAAACAGAGCACTGTGCTCTTCGAGCTTACTTTGAGACACTGAAAATGTTAAAATGTTGAAAATTATCGAAACATGGTTTAATGCATAGCGGAAAAGACATTTAGATATAACAAAGACATCGAGACTCTAAGTAAGTTCTGATTTAATCTGGCTAATCAGCATGGGGGGGAAAAAAGAAAAAAAGTGCAGAAAAGAAATGCAGGTATCCCAACATAGCTGAGATCAGCACCATGTACGTATATCACAAATCGCAACGCTATCGCAACAATCCTATTGGAGATTTTATAAATCTAATCTCACAGTCCTGAGTGTTTTCCCAGAGGAATTAAGATGTCTGAAAACTGATAAACTCTGCTTTATGCTCATTTCTTTCATTGTTTGTGCATGAACTACTGAATATATGCGAGTAGGAAAACTTTGAATACTTTTTAGTAAATAAAAATGGCTTCAAATAAACAGTTCATTTTTATCTTGACATCTGACACTCAGGTGAAGTCTTTATTATGGTAGAAACAAGACTGAAACAGGCTAACGGTGCTGTTCATTTTTGGAAGTGACAGTCAAAGGCAATACATTCGTCTTTTACACATTCACTTTCAAGGAGACCTGTGGAGAGTATCGAGTGTTGCGTGTACTGACTGGCTAACGTCATGGCATTAAAACATCTAAACACTCATCTCATACCAAACAAAGTCCTCTGCGTGATTCATGGCCCGTCGTTGTTTCATAAGCACCATGGCGGGAGAAAGGAGAGGAGTTTCTTTTAAAATATCTGAATGTTTTACCTTCATGAGACACTTTCAGTAAAGATTCATGTTAGGTAATTGTTCATTACTGGTTTTAACATCAGGCCGTAATGTCAGTGCTTTACCAGATGGTGTCATCAAAGTCACAACTGCAGTGTGGAAACATGGACACTTTTTTTCAGAAAGTTAAACAGAACTCTCCTATTTGTGTATGACTTGGAATTGGAATGGTATAGCAGCTGTGAACCTAAAGTCATTTTTCAATAGCCTCTTTTCAAAGCCTGCATAATGGAATTGGAATGGATTATTTGGAAGCCATGCTGACAAGCCAAACACTGGCTTATAATTCCAATTCATCGATCTGGATGTCAAAGTTAGATAACCCAGCCACTGATCACAAATAGTGATTAACAAAGAGCTTGTGAGAAATAGAAATAAATTGCCTTTGTTATAAATTCCAATACCAATTAATCTGGGACACTATGTAAAATGTAAAAATATTCCAGCAGGACAGACAGCAAACACATTTTTCAGTAAATTCATGTCACTGAAGGTGAAATTATGGGGAAGCATCGTAAAAATTTACACACAATTGACTGATTCTGGGTCTGGTCCTCCGAGATGAGCCTCTGGGTGTTGAGCAGTTTCAAGAGAGATCTGCAGTGTAGGCTGAAGGCAACGCTGGAAGCAGATGATTGTCAGACAGCCAATCACCACGCATATAGAGATGAATAAAGAGACCACCCGCCCTCGGTGAATCCTAATCTGGAGCTGCCACTTTTCCTGCACATTTTCCTTTTCTGGTTTTCAGAAAATAGAACCAATAAGTAGTAGTTGTATAAGCTGTGATAGTCAGCATCCTTCATCTCCTCTCTTCACATCAGTCTATCAAAATATTTAACCTCACAACAGAAACTGAAAATTGTGCTTTATACACAGACCCATTTTGCTTCAAGGTTAAATAACACATTGAACAACCATTTCTGCTCTTTAATTGGCTCATTGTTGCTGCTCCAGCAGATGTCTGCAAACCAAGATTAAAGGCTCCAATAAAGTTATTTAACATATTCAGCACCCTGCTCCAGCATCCTTGTCTCTGCGCATGGTGAACGGCGAGGCGATCAACACCGGACACTATGTGATGAATCTACTAGATTGGATAGGGAGGTGGGGTTTTAACATGCCTGGCCTTAAGCATCCATAAAATGGCAACAAACTTTGGTCCATGTGAGTCAGCCTGAAGATTACAGGGAAGAACCAATAACTGGAATGTTTTGCTCTTGTGATAGTCAGCATCCTTCATGTCCATGTCAGTTTATGAATTCTAAAAAAATGATATTATGTCAAACTTCCACAAAAAGTTTACCAAATTAAATAAATAAATAAAAAACCATGCAGCAACTGCATCATTCCCTTGCTTCAAGACATGGAACTAACAGTCTAGTGCTTTCTGTCATATGCAGACTGATAAAGGTGGCAGGGATGAGGGCAGCTGTCGAAGTTAAGCAGAGCTGCTAAAACACGGCTCAGACTCGGCAGCGCCAGAGAACATTTGGGCACCAGGGGACAAGTCAAGTTTGATCATAAAAAGGCCTTATATAGCTCGTTTACTCTTAAACGTATCTGCTCAGCCCTAATCGAACAACTGTGAGATAAGGTCCCTGTCATTAACTTAGCTACACGTGCATGTAAAATGCTCTCCTGCTTATACAGCTAGATGTGAAAAAATATGGTCTAGGATGTTTTATCCTGGTCTGGAGCATCTTGCTGTCAGTTCACTGGCTCTGCCCAGCTTAAAATCACAGATACTCTTCACTTTAAAATCTGGGATCTTAGTCATGCACATATCCCTTGTGTTGTTCCGCTGGAGGTTGTTTTTCCAGTTGAAAAAACTTTGAGTTCCTTATTATATCTGCACAAGCTGCAGGGAAAACGAACACGCCAAAGAAAGTGGACATCTCCATAACTACCTGCAGTGAGACAAACATGAGGGGAGAGTGACAGAATAGAAGCCTGTTTCTCACTCTAAGATGGTACAATGATGCCTTATAGAAGCAAGAGTGTAAAAAAAAAAAAATCTGATCCTTCTTTAAAATTTGCATCAACACCTCTAAAAGCTGACCTCTGAGCTTCACTTGCTCAAATCGAGCCGGCTAGACTGATACAAAATGTGTTGTCAGCTGGGCTGAAAATTGTCCATGTAACATCTACCCCCGGCCTGAGAGGATACAAGAGCCCTTGTGGATTAAGTATATTTGGGGGAAGCATCCCTGCGAGGGACAGCAAAAAGACTTGCCATCGGACTGTTTTGACAACTCGGTCCAGTTCAGTGCTGAACCGAAGAAAGAGAGGCCGAGGGAGGGATCAGTTCCAACTCTGAGAGCGTGAACATCGGATGAAGTGAGAGCTTTCTGGTTGAACGGCTACATTCTGCAATTCATAAAACCAGCAACTGTGTGGATAACGCTTGATTTAGGCACACAGCCAGTTGTCGGTGATTCGAAAAGTTTACACATCTCTTGATGAGTCAGCATTACAGTGTGGCCATGTTTTTAATAAAGATGTAGGTGTCCAAGCACAATAATTTAATTATATACACACATACAAAATGTTTAAATGCAGCAATTAATGGCACACAAACTTGACTTCAAATTGCGCCATGTACATCTCTGGCACGGCTCATAACAGTTGATGAGAAAGAATTTGTTAATAAAAGCTACACTCTTAAGCTATTTCCTTCTCAGATCAATAGAGTAACCCTTTCTAAATATAGAGCTACGGTGCTTTTGGCATGACTGGAGGAGATGTTGATCAATCTCAGTCCCTCTAAACAGCTCCGTCTCAGGGGAGCTGTTTCAGAAGGGTTGAGAGAGGGGCCACTGTGCTTCACTGAAGATGTATTTGGACCAAAGCCCGTCTCATACATTTTGATACATTTCAGAAAAGTGTGCCAGCTTCTGCAAAAAGGGAATGAAAAGTCACTGTGTTACTCTTTATGTGTGCTTTGTTATATATTGGAAATGATCTCCCTTTTGTTGTACTGCTACATTTTCCAACTTTAAAACACATCTCCATAAACGTGGATTAAATCCACTCTTCACCGTTTTTATGGGTGGTACCCCTCTTTTGAGCTCAGGTCGTCCGTCTGAGTCCTGACAGCTATGCTCTTGTGGACAGGTGTTTTACAATGTGGTGATTTATCAAGATTTTAGACTGAAAAATTGACCGGGTCAAATGTGTGGTGCGACCTGACCTTTTAAAGCAGTTTATTTTTCTGTATAACGAACTGTGCCAAGAATGGCAAGACTTTGGCAAATACTGAACTGCCATCGTTATCACAGGACAGGAGGGTGAAGAGAAAATTCAGCCCTGACAGGAGGAGGATAGGCATCACAAACAAAAGAAGAAGAAACAAGAAGTAAGTAAGATGGCTGAAAGGGTAGATGAGGATCAAGAAAAATCAACACATGTGAAGAAAAGAGTGGCGGGAGAGAGGAAGACAAACACTGATTGGGGGTACAGATTTCATGGTTGAGCTGTGCCAAACCATGTTGATTCTATGGCCCGGGGACCCAGATGTGCTGTTGCAGGGGTGTACTGCAGGTCTTACAAAGTCTCTCTATACCCATACACCTGACTGTGATGGAAGGGGACCAGGAGGACCGACTCTGGACGCCTGTGCGCTTTTGCAGCAGGTTACATAAAAAGAACATGCCCAGGTTCTCGTGAAAATTAAAAGGTCAAAAACGTATTTTCCTGCTTTATAGCCTGTTCTGGCGGGCCACGTGCCAGATAACACCTGGTGTTCATCAGATAGATTTTTGCTTCACTGATGAGTGAATGTTTTGAACAACAAATCGTCCCTATGGGAGAGCTTTCAGTGACTTAACGATTTTTTCCCCCTGTGGCTTGTGTGCCTGTGCTTGTTGGTCAATACGAACAAAAATATGTGTGTATGTGTGTTTGTGCGCGCATGCTCTGTGTGTCCCTAGAACATATGAATAAATCTTCTGCCAACGGGATGTGCGCAGCCACAAAAGCGGCTGTGAAACTCTGATAGGAGACTGTAAAGCATTCACGGGTTCGAGGGTGTCGTGCTCCTGAGTCATTACTAATACTCCCATGCAGGCTGTAATGTACCTGATCTGTACAAAGAAGCTTAGGCAAGAGCCTGAAAAGCTACATCAGGGATTTGGGTCATTTGTTTTCATGATGCATGAGGAGCTGAAGGAATTACACACATTTACAACGGCAGACTATGCAAATTTGAACATTTACAACATTGTCGCGTACAAACAATGGACACGCCTTCCATTGTTGATGAGACGATAAGCAACAATAAAGGTCCAATCAAATATGTCAGCTGTGAGGGTGGCAAAATATTTCACATAAAACCACGAGCCAGTAGGCATGACAACCACCAAAGCACAACATTAATCATCAACATGTCCTCCATGAGGAACATGGATGGATGATTGTCTAACCATCAAGATGATTATTTTGATTTGCTGCACGTTTGAAGTGTGTGAACGCACAGCATCATTGTCGTATTTATAGTGCGTTCTTGTAGATACACAATGTTCATGTGGAAGTCTCCGTTGGTCTCTGCTTTGACAGGGCAACTGGATACTTTTATATAATAACGGACCACAGAGGAAAACTGTGCCTCACTTCCCCCTCTTATATCAGAGACAGCAGACAGTTAGCTTTAATGAATATCATGAGATTCCTCCCATCTACGATCAAACTGTACAGGAAGTGTAGAATTCCCTTAAAGACATCTTAACTTAATCTATTCAGACATGGAACATTCACAACAAACATCCATGAAGGGGATGGATCTTTGTGAGTAGCATT